AAAGTTAGGTTTAGGACAAATTAATATTTTTTTTTTTTCTGAAATGAAAAGTTAACCAGCAAACAGCGTAAGATTTATTTTGCCTATAAATAGGATTTTGTTTTTAAAGCCTGCCCAATTCTTGCTGTTTCAATGAAAAACTGACATTTTTACGGCAGGGGAAAAAAAAAATCAGACGGAAAAAATCCGAGGTGCTTGTGACATCTTACACCGCGGCGCTCGATGTTGTGAAGGATCGCTTTGACCCTCGGTTTTCATTGTGCTGTTCGTGCTTCTGATCATCTCAGTCAGCTCTTCCCTCCCAGTCCTTCTCCATCTCCTCCCAGCCTGCCAGGGCATTCGCACCAACCCTAAATAGAAAGGCTGGTTTCATATCCGTGCCTGTTCCCGAGCGGAACGAGGGAAGGTTCTGCGCCTTTTTAATCAGGAGAAGCATCTGATGGAGAAGCAGACCTGGGTACAGATTTAATCTGTCCAGGTGATTTTTAGCTCTGGGCTACGTGGCGAGCAACCTGCGCTCTACCCTCCCCTCTTGCACGGAGCTGAGGGTTAATTTTTCTGGGTGTTCTGCAATTCTTCGCGTCGGGGAGACGGGCAGACGCTTCTTTCCCTGCGTAGGGAAGGTCAGAGAGGTGGTGGGGATGCGCTGCTGAGCTGGGAGCGAAACCCAGGCTCGTGGCGTTGCCCACCCAGCACTACCCCGCATGCTTCTGGGCGGTGAAATTCAATATATCCTCTCCGCAGAAAGCGGAGGATGGTGCAGGAGGTGCAACCTGGTCGGGCAGGAGGTGGAGGAGCGGAGGGCTCGGTGGTGGGCATTGCTTCGGCAGGCTGGGTTACACCAGGGCAGGAGGCGGGTTGCGGCTTGGTTTGGTGCTGCGTCAGCTTTCTGCTGGAAAATGGAGGGAGTTCTAGAAAGCAAGAAGAAAGCTGCTGGTTTTCAATTTAAAAATTAAAAAAAAAATAAAAAAAAAAAAAAAAAGAAAACGGCACCTTCCTGGCTGCCCAACCTTCCAGTGACTGCGGGCGCAGTAATAGAGCTGCCTGCCTGACCTTCTTGTGATAAAGCGTTAATAGACAGAATATAATAAACGGAAACCTCAACGGTGTAATTGTTAATAAGCTTAGTCAAACCCACTCGGTATTTTTTCACTTGGGCAAAATTATAACTGTGTTGGTAACTGCGAGAGCGCTGCTGAATTTGGACCCTGCGGAGATGTTTGATTGAGTATCGCCCGATATTTCTGATTCCCCAATTAATGGGGTGCAAAATCAATACCGCCCCCGACAAACGGGTGAAATCCTGCCTTATCAAGACATCTCAATCTAATTGTTAACGAGCGATCTAGTGCCACTGGGGGGAGAATTCCTTGGGGACTGGCTCTCAGCCCGATGCTGGTTAATGTTTTTATCAGCGATAAAGAGGGCTGAGTGGAAAAAAAGTGGATGAGCTGCCGTTTGGACTCGTGCAACGACAGCAGAAGGCTTCGTAGATGGGTAAAAGACATACAAACTTTGGAGCATCCCAGCAAAAGAGGCAACGAGCGTGGGCCTGCATCTGACTCAATATGACTGTTGTCACGTTCCTCCCTGGGGCATCTCTCCTGTATTCAGTTACTGTATTTGGCAGACCGGGCGATTCCTTCTGGTCTTAACGTTTCATGGACACGTTCAATGGATGCAAGTGAGAGGCAGCCTGGCCCGAGTCACCAGATGACCGAGGCGTCTTGGATAATTATAAAATAAATAAATGCAGTGATGATATAAGTGCACAGGGTGAAACTGCTGCTGGGAGCGGGATGGAGATGATGCATGGCTTTTCTCTGCACCTGAAAAGGTGGAGGGAATGAGGAGGGAGCTCCATCTTGGGCTGGGAGAGCATCTCTGGGGCAGCGCTGTCCCATCGGCCAGCGAGTCCCCAGTTGCCCTCCTCCCTCTTCTGCGCCAGGAATGATGCTCAAGGCAAAATGACAGCACCTTGTGTGGTTTTTTTGCTCATGGGTTTTTGCTTTTTCAAGAGACCCACAGACTGTTTTGGGTAGGAGACGTAGTGAACTTGCCTTGTGCCTGGTGTGATGGCTCCTCTTGATGGAGCGCAGCTTCAGAGGTACGGCGCTCCTCGCGCTGATTTGCTGCAAAAAAAAAATAAAAATCGCTAAGCAAAAATTTCCCTCCTTATTTAAAGAAAGGGACTGGAACTAAGTAAGCCAGGCTGCTCGGACCACTAAAACCAGCTGCAAAAATAGGTGGTCGCTAGTAATACACTGCTAACCACTGCTGCTGTGGGTAAGTGCCCACTATTTTTTTCGTGTTTTTTTCCATTTCTCACCGAGCTGGGAAGCGGAACCATGGTTGGGTGGCATTGTTGTGGCCAGAGCCCGTTTGGAGTTGGAATTCCCACTTGGCGGCAAACATTTGGAGTTTGAAATTTGCAGTGGGATAACCGTTCTCTCGTTCCAAACAACAGTTATTTGGCCGCATAGACCTCAATTTTTCAAATACTGTTTTTTCAACGTCGTTTTAATACACCATTAGGATCGTATGTATTCTAAGACATAAATGCTGTTTTTTATAAGAATTAAATTTAAGGGGAGAAAATGCGTTTTGCTTTCCGACGGTACTTTCTGCCGGTGTCTGGCACTTGAGCTCTCCCATCTCCACCGGGTGCGGATGCCACGTGGTTTTATGGGGCAGCAGCTTTGCAGCCCTCGGCGTCAGGAGGCGAATCCCAATTCTGAATTTAGGGGCGTCAGCGTTGGCGCTGGAGGAGCAGCGCCCGCAGACCACGCTTACTGCAGGGCCGGGTGAGGTTTGCTCTTTAGCCCGGAGCCCATCAGTTACTCCCTCATTGCTTTGCTTTATTATTATTATTGTGCGAGTCCTCCTTCAGCGAAGTGGGTTTCAATCTGCAGCCGGAAAATATTCCCAAAGCGCTATTTTAATATTTATTTTCATCCGGCTTCCTATTACTGTGGCAACATGCACTTTGAATTTCATTAGTTTTATGCATTTAAGTTCCCTTTTTAAACCTTTATAAGGTCAGGCCCTGCTTGGGTAAATCAACAATTTATTAAATTTGAGATTCGGCGTAATATTTTTCCTTAAACAGCTGTAGATCACAGGTAGTGGGGGCCTTTTTGAGAAATACGTGATGAGCACGTGCACCGGATGATTCCGTTACCTAAACCCCTCCTATAATTCCATAAAAATCTCCCACCGCAGATCCGTTCCCGCGGTCTGCCAGCAGCACGTGGCGGGGTGCCGGCACTGAAATGGGGTGGGAGGTGGGGTGTGTGGGACCTCGCGCCGTGCTCTCCAGCACGAGAACTCAAAGCTCTCGCTGCCGAAGCTGTCCCAGAGCTCCCTGGGGGCCCCCGGACCCTCCCCCCGAGCATCTGGGGTGGCAGGGAGCAGGCGCCGCGGGGTGCTGAGCATCCTGCACGGGCTACGGGGACCGCTGCCTGGCCAGCGGCGGGTGCGATGCCGAGCTCAGCGTTGCTTCCTCTTGGTAACTAGGAAATTTAGGGGATGCCACACCAGCATCGCCCCACAGGGAGGATACAGGAAGGAGGAGGACCACCTTGTTTGATAAGGCAGAGAGGGACAGGGGGATGTTAAATGTCTCATAAAAATCATGTTTAATTACCTATTGGCAAGCAATATATTCACCCTTTTTCACCCAGCGCTCACCCCTTGGTGCCCCCCAAGCTCACTGGACGCAGCCCGAGCCCCAGAAACCACCACGTTGATGACACCCAGGAACCACGGGGCAGCGCATCAGAGCACAATGTACTATAAGATGTGGCTTCTAGCCACAGAAATTACAGAAACAGAAATTAGAGTCGTGATCTGATGACTTCGAGGCTACCCAGAGCACAGGGCACCTCGCACCTGGCTACTCCCCACCAAACCGCGCTGGCATCTGTTAGACCCCTGGGTCAAACCACCAACGCCAATGGGGATTTTGCCCACACGGTGGGCATCGGAGACCCATAAAAGTTTGGGTGTTCAGTGAATGACAGGCAGGAGAGGAGAGGGATGAGAGGAAGGGATCGGGAAGGTCCCACAGGAAGGTCTCCAAGCCTTGTCCTGCTGACCTGATGCATCCAGCTGGTTTTCTGCCCAGCCAAGAGTCACATCACCTGGAATAGGGTTCAGCTGGGGGGCAGCCAGCCCACACAAGCCCCTGCTACCCACGCTTCTCGATTTAGTAATGATTACCAAAGCAGAGCTGATGTCCTCTCTCTCTTTATTTCCCACTGGGAAACAAGCCCTCGGTTGCTTTCACCTGTGGTTTGCAACAGGGGCAGCTTGACCATCAAGAGAGTATAAGTAGTTGTCCTCCTGCCTCCTTTGGGCTTCTGGAGGGGTTTTCCTTCAATCAACAGGGCACTTTGCAAGCTTTTTGTTTCACAGCAACTCATAAAAGTAGGTTGTGAGAAGATGGTTTGGGGCGTGTTGGCCATCTCCCTGCAGAAGGGGCCCCGCGATCTGCAAACCGGAGTTGCTGCTGCCTCTTTGGGTACCGGTTTGTGCTGGAGAAGTAACAGGGAGCCCCTGGCTGGCAGGAGGCAGCGCTGCCCCAAACTTCTCATTTGTGTTTTCTGTGTAACTTTCTGACTAAAGTTCAACTCAGAATACACCGAATAATTCAATTACATCTCTGCTGCTGGGTTACATAAGAGAAAGCTGAAATTGCACCTCGTTTCGTAAGGTAAAGTGCATCCTTCTGCCAACCCAAACAGTTTCCCCGGTTTGCAGTGTGTTTTTCCGGTGCCTCCTTGGCTGAGCTGGGGCTTTGGGGATGGAGAGGGTGCTTTAGAGGTTCTCTGCGTTGACCGACATCGTTTGAGTGTACTAAAATCTGGGCTTATTCCGTGTATTTTTCATGGTGTTTCAGCACGCTGAGGAGACCGGAGCAACTGGACCAGGCGGCGGGCCAGCGATCAGCATCCCCCTCCCTCGCACAGACTGCGCCCAGCTCCCAGACCCCTCGGGAGATGAAGGGCCGGGGCCAGCCCGGACCCCCGGCGGAGGGACCGCGGAGGATGCTGCAGGTGGACGCCAGGAGCCAAGGCTCGGGGAGGTCTCCCTCGGTGTCACCAGAGCGGGGCAGCACCCCAACCTCTCCTTACTCGCTCCCGCAGATCGCCCCCCTCCCCAGCAGCACGCTCTGCCCCATATGCAAGACGACGGAGCTCACCTCCTCCCCGGGACAGCCCAACTTCAACGCCTGCACCCAGTGTCACAGCAAAGTCTGCAACCAGTGTGGCTTCAACCCCAACCCGCATCTCACCCAGGTAATGCCGTCTCTTCCTCGGGCGACCTTCCTGGCCAGCTCGGGTGGGCGGTGGGGTGGCCACAGCCGGGGTTTGCAGGGAGAGGTTCTTCTTGTCTCCACGTGCGGAAGTTGTGTGGAGCACCCAAAAAGAGTTTCCCACCATCAGCGTTCCCCATCCTTCTTCACTCTTTTCAAGACACGACGTATCTCTTCTGTACTCTGATGGACAGTGATTAGAGGTTTTTGTCCTTCATTTCGAACCAGCACCCAAATGGTTGGGTGCTCACCAACCGCTATGGGAATCTATAATCACGTGGTCCACCCAGCGTTGCCCAAGAGCAGGGGTTCTGCTGGTTAATCGGGGGATAATTGCAGTAATGTGAGCTATAATGAGACGCAGGGGGATTAAATCGGTTAAAGGGGAATGGTGGACCACCAGAAAGGTTCGGTCTCTGTTGCTGGAACCCTAAAACGCTTGGCTTAGGCGAGGTCCACGGACGCAAAACTGCCCTGAAGTTGAAGGAGTTGATCAGAGGGGTTGTTGGCAACCCTGAGGTGTCGACCGTCTTAGACCCTGACTAATCCTGGGTGATGATGTTTCGGTGGCGGGTGAGTTCCAGGCAGCATCAGGCTTGGTGGCAGGAGAGAAGTGCAAAGTCATGCGCTGGGAGATGGTGAGATGGAGAGTCGTCGCTGGGAGAAGCATTTCGTGCCGTGTGAGATGGTTGTGCCGGGTCCCCGGGGGTGGCTCTGGCAGCGAGCTAGGGGGGTACTGGGGCTGGCTGGGCCACGGGGCTCCCCGTGCCCGTCCATCAGGTCAGAGACCTCCACTCAGGGTGGGAAGGGACGTGGATGCTTTTTTGCGGGTGTTAAGAGCCAAACCGCGGGGATTCCTACTCTCGGGCTTAATAACAGGAACTTAAAGCCACTGTGCCACTCCAGCGTGTGAGAAAACAGGATTTGGGCACTGAAGTCCCCTGGGTACCCATGTCTTATTGCTGTTTCCAGTAAGCATGCAGTGCTTGCTCCTGACACCAGACCTGGTGGTTTCTAAACGCCTTTGTTTGAGAGACTCCTGCCCTCCAGGCCCTTGTCCCGGTGGAAGGAGAGTTGGGGTGGCTGATACCCCTGGTGTAGTGAGACATAATTAGCTCGGTGTTGCTTTTGTACCCCTCTGAAGAAGTGCTTACCCCTGTGAAGATCAGTATGAGGTCTCGGACCTTAACCAAGGGCCCTGAGGTGGCAATTCAGGCTTGGGCAAGGAAATGCCAGTGGTCAGGTTTCTGTTTCCCTTCTGAGTTGATTTGCTAAATATTTGCTTCGTTGTCCAAGCATTGCATTGAAAGTTGACCAACTACTCTGAAGAGTAGCAGTTAAAACAGCAAATAAACAAAAGAAAATGCCCCAAGTTGCTCAGTTTCTGCTCAGCCTGGTCCTGCCTCCTCTGCCTTGGCCTAGAGCTTTCCTGCAGTGGCCCCTGCCCCGCATCCCTCTTGAAGATACCCATATCAGTTGTGTGTGTGCATGGAATTTCTGCTTCGCATCTCCAATCTGTCTCTCATCATCTCCAGGTCTCTATTCCCTCTGAAACCTGATGGACTGTGGAGCATTTTTAAGCATCTAATCTGAAAAATTGGAGCTGGGATGAAAAAAGGTGTGGTGGGGGGGTTTTTGGTTTGTTTATCTGAGTTTAATATGCATTTCAATGGCAAGCAAACTTATGACTTTTAAGTAGGTTGTTGAGGGAGCTGGGGGATGGCAACCATTGTCCAAGAGAAGTGTTTGGAGCTCGTGTTGGCAGCTGGTGAGATGGGTTGGCTGGAGGAGCAGCGGTGGTTGCTGCCTTGGTGGAGTGTGACTCGCTGTCCTCAGCACAACCACTCACGCGGCTGTTCTGGAGTCGCCCAGAAAGGCGCCTGAAGCAGTCTGGTGGCGTTAAAAAGGGTTAACAGGAGGCAGATCGGAGGTCACTCTCATTCTTGAAGGTAGGAGCTGGGTTGGAAAGGACCTCCAGAGATCATCCAGGTCCAACCTTTGCTCAAAGCAGAGATCAGGCAAGGGAGCATCGGGCTTTATCCACTTGGGTCTTGGTATCTCCCAAGGGTGGACCTGTGGGTCCCACCTGCTCCACTGCTTGACTGTCCTCACAGGGAAAAGCATCCATCCGGTCTGGTCCCTCGAGCCCAGCAGGTACTGCAGGGTGGCTGCATGGCATTGCTAATGAGGTGGTTTGTGGAGTTGTATTTTCCATTTGCGTTTCCTTATGGAAATATTTTCATGTGAATAGGTGATGTTTCTACTTTGGGCTGCGGTAGGTATGGATTTGTAACTTCTCTTTCGAGGCTTTCTGGCAGGGTCAAATCATCAAAAACACTGCATTTTCTAAGAAAACCAAACCCAAGGAAACCAAACTTGTGTTTTACTTGGTACCTGCTCTCCTGCAGGAGCTGTGGGACTGCCGGAAACGGCAGATGTGGTGTGGTGGGAATTCCAGCGGTTGTCTGGCACGACACAGCCACGTGCGTTGACTTCAGAAACCCCTTTTGGGAGCCTGGTGTTGAAAAAGAAGGCGTTTATATAAACTTGATGTGTCTTTTATACATGTATCCTATAAAATAGCTTTTATTTATATATATATATAAATACCATAACAACAGACAGTGTGTGAGCTATAGTCTATCACGCTCCGTTCTGCTGCTTACGAGTACCAAGGGCAGATTTTTCCGAGGAGGGTTAACCATACACCCTAGCACAACACCTTAGCTCGATAATTAGGTGATACCTTCCGCTCAGAAGCGTGTACATTCCTTTGAAACATTATTTTTCTTTGTCTTTTTTTAAAATTTTATTCTTTTTCATGTGCCTTGATGGTTATTTTATCTTAAAGGCAAGTAATGAATTTCTGTCATGACGAAGCAGTTGGCCTCTGTGGCATCTTGAGTTGATCGCTTGCTTTTTTCATTCACTCTTTTTTTTTTTTCCTTTTTTTTTTTCGCCCCCCTCTTTATTCCTTTGAGCACCAGCTCACTCTTGTTTCACAAGACTGGGCAAACAGACGTTCCTCTCTGCTGTCGGTGTCACTCAATATTTTACATGTAGATAATCATATTCTTCCCTCTGTTCATCTCCGCACTCCGAAATAACTGCTGTCATCGTTTTCAATTTGGTTGCCTGCTGGCGTGCCAGTTTTCTCGTTCATTCACTTATTGCTGAAGGTCAGTGCTCTTGCCATAGATGGTTATTTTAAGCAGGGGGAAATGTGAAGCAGGGAGCTGCGCTGGCACCATTAAAGACAAGAAGTTATGAAATTAGCACAGTAAAATTTAACAGTTCGCTTACGCGCCTGTGTAGCAAATGGGCTTTTGAATGGAGATGTGCTATTTGAAATGCAATATTGCAGCCCTGATGTTCTAGTAGGATTTTAAATTTCGCATTAAAACTTTTTTTCTAGTTTTCCTCAGTGTCGTCTTTGAGGGTGGTTTGGGTTTGTTTCTTTTTTTTTTTTTTGATAGCTTGTTCTGCAGGACTGTACCAGCAAGGCTGTCATCTCCTCCGGGGGGGAATAGCTCAGTTTCAAGCCAGTACAATAGGTTGAGAAAATCCTCTTTTTATACATCTTTCACTTTGTAATGCTGCTCCCGTGGCTTTCGCCTGACTGATCCTGCAGCATGTTCATCTGATTGGATTTGCTCTGTTTGGTATCACAAGGAGTAACCTGCAGGCATCCTTTCTGTTTCTCTGGGGTTTTGAAGTGCCACTACACATGGCTAATTTGAGAAATTAATTTCTTCAGTGTTCTCTTAACATTTTGGGGCTTTCTTTTAATTCATTTCCTCCCCATCTGAAGTGCTAAGCTGAAAAAAATGTAGAGCTTGGTTTTGATTTTAATCAAGAGCAGTGGCACAGCGTTAAAATACGTGCTTTGGTTAGTGCTGAAATGAAACTCAAAATGTCTGGCTGCCTAATAGGTTTGTTTGGAACCGCTTTGGGATTATAGAAAATCTTTGCATTCTTCCTTACGTTTCCATTGTGCTTTTTTTTTTCCCCATTTGAAATCGTGTTCATCAGATGCAGTTTCATAAGTATACGGATGCACACAATAGATTTTTTTTTTTCTTCCCACCTTGAATAAAGGAGCATATTTATACAGGTATGTTCTTCACCAAATTACTTTCTTTTTGAAGTCCCTGCTTTTGTCCCCAAGCCATTCTGAATGTATCTGCTGTATTTGTGACTGTATGAAGAGCTAATACTTACCATAGAATCATAGAATGGTTTAGGTTGGAAGGGACGTTGAAGATCATTCTAGTTCCACCCCTGCCCTGGGCAGGGACACCTCCCACCAGCCCAGGTTGCTCCAAGCCCCGTCCAACCTGGCCTTGAGCACCTCCAGGGATGGGGCAGCCACAGCTTCTCGGGGCAACCAGAGCCTCACCACCCTTGAAGTGAAAAATTTCATCCTAATATCTAATCTAAATCTACCTTCTTCCAATCTGAAGCCATTCCCCCTCATCCTATCAAATAATAATACTTGTTAAACTTCATTTCTGGTCCATGTTTTTAGCTGTGTTTGGGGAGATTGAAGAGATTTTGTACTTTTTACATTCTGAATATAATGTAATAAGAAAATATGAAATATTTTAAATATTTCGTAAATAAATCTGTTCCCTATGTGCTCCATGCCACATAAGATCATCACCAACCTTTGATCACACACCTTTGGCAAGTGAAACGTGAAAAGTCTCAGGGAGGATTAAAAACTTGCTGGTTGGTTTCCCAACAGTGGTCAAGGTTGTGTTTGCAGGAGAGGAAAACCTCTCAGCAGCTCTTGAGTTATCTGTAGCGGGAGGAGGTATCCACATAAATAATTTAAAGTTTTTAGGTGAATGTTTGAATTGTATGGGCGGAAAACAGACCATCAGCTGAAGAGATGAGAACAAAATGGTATAATTGTGAATGTACGGTATAGGGCTGTATTTATCATAACTTAACAGGAGATGGTTTTCTTGCTCAATTTTG